CCGGCGGGAACCCCTGATCCAACAAGGGCTACTAACCAACCAACCAACCAACCAACGAGATCCCTCACACTTACACCACGCTTGTATGATTTTCCTGTTCAACTCCTTTCTCTTGACGAGACTATCTTTAGCAAGCAGCAGATTCTTTGAGGACACCTTGCCTTACAAATTGTAGCCAAAAAACAGCCAAGTAAAAGTACAAATAAATGCGCACGGGTGTTGTGGCAGTGCAAAGTAAATTTAAATCCACCCCTACCAAAAAACATGAGGAGGACCTGCCACACTCCCTGACGAGATCCCTCACACTTACACCACTCTTGCACTTTGCTAAGATTTCTTTCTTTATATCCTCTCTCTTAAGGGACTATCTTTAGCAAGCAGATTCTTTGCCATCGTGCATTACCAATTTTAGCTAGAAAAGCACAAAAGCAGCCAAGTAAAAGTACAAATAAATGCAAAGGGATGCTGCGGCAGGGCGAAATAAAATAAATTCGTCCCCCCCCTCCCCCGAAAACATCCTGGGGACCTGCCATACTCCCTGACGAAATGCGTCACACGAGCACCAAGCTTGTATGATTTCCCTGTTGAAATCCTTTCTCTTGATGAGACTCTTTAGCAAGCAGCAGATTCTTTGAAGACATCGTGCATTACAAACGGTAGTCAGACAACCACAAAAACAGTCAATTTCAAGTACAAATAGATGCGCACGGGTACTGTGACAGTTCGTTCTCGTAATTAGCCCCGTCGCCACCGCCACCGCTGACTCATCTCCTTTTCGCTTGACAATGCCGGCGCTACGCGCGCTATTTCCCTGTAGATCTCACGCTTATGGTCGGTTCGCTGCTGAAAATGCGCGAGTGCTGGAAATAACCTCGCGAGGGCTCGTAAAATATGGCCCAGAAATAGTGCCACCTTCATGACGAAAGTTGACTTGGTAGTGTGGCATACATTTGGTCGCGTTATTTTACATCTATTGGGTGAATTTAGTCCTGAAAAACCTTCTAGTTAGGAAAATCGCCCATTTAGGTAAGGTTTTTGGGGATAATGGGCACAAATTTGGCTAACTGGGGAGTAGTCTGCTATCTAAGAAATTTCCTGTGTTATTCAGAACCACAGATTCAAACCGTTTCTTTTTTTATTGAAGTGCAATGTGCTGTGGAAGAACTCCAAAATAAGTACGGAAAGTCTAAAACATGTCCCTTCCAGAACCGAAAAATATATTCCGAAATTGCTCAAATTTAAATAAAGCCAATTTTAGAGAATCGCGTTTATTTCCAGAAACAGGGAAAAATTTCAGTTTTAAAAATCATTTTTTTGCCAAACTGCGAAGCTTGTTATTTAGAAATCCAACGCTCTAACCACTGCGTCACGGGCTAGCCGTCCTACCGGCTTTCGATCGGGAATATACACAAAGCAGGTAGGGATGTCGTGACGAGTATGTCCTCTAACCTGCCACTGTATATTTCCGTTCGAAAGCCGGCAAGACAACGGGCCTGTGGTGCGGTGGTTAGAGCGGTGGACTTCTAACTAACAAAATCGAGAGGGTTCGAAACTCGAGCGGGGCACTAATTTCTGGGGCAACACTTGAGTTGGGCATGACAAGCTGAGGATGATTAATAAGCCGGAAATGGCCATCCTACTATATCTTGCCTCTATCAGTAGTGTCATTCTGCCTATAATATA